GCCCCCTTTCTGTATACCTTTCCTTCGCTTCCTGAGCTTGATTTTTCCCCCGTCGGTGCAGAAAGACTTAGCGGGTGCCAAACAAGACATCTGTCTACTTTGTCTGTCTGTCTTATTAGAAAAGTAATTGCTTCTGATAAACGCAGTTACGTAGCCCAGGGAAATCATGATCTTAACTGAAAATGTAACTGTACTATGCAATTGAAAATACATAGTGTAACCAATCGGAGGAGGGCGCTGCGATCACCGAATCAAGCGGCTGCACTTTCGCAGCGCTCCATAAAAAAGTGTAAAACATTCCTTTCCCCTTAGTGATTATCAATTAAGTTACTTTGAAATAGTGTTTTTTCTACAAAACTTACACCTTTTCCAAAGATTTTTCAGCTCCGATGTTGATGAGAATGAAACAGCGGACTGTGTGATAATGTACTACAAAAGCCTGGAATTTTAAGATAAGTACCCTTCTTTCATCTAAACTAAATCAAATTTCTATAAATAAGTGCCTTTAAGTCAATAAATTTTAATTTTTCATCAGTTTTTAGCATTAAATAATACTTGAAATTGCTCATTGCTTGTGGCTTCATTTGTGGTTAAAATTCCTAACGGACGCCAACGTTATCAGTTCACGTCTGTCACCACTTACAAAGCACCCTTATCTTGTTTCGAGGAATCTCGTGAGAGGGAAAATGAGGGATTTGGGGCATCGAGCTACTTCCCTCTCGGATCTTTTTGTTTCCCTTTTCTAGATTGCTTAAATATATTTTCGCCTTTAAATAATATTATACCTCACCGATTTTTTTTCTCATACTGTTCCTTCTATCTGTTAAGTGTCCATATGTACGGTATGGATTATTCTTCACTGCCTTAAATAAAATCTTAGAACTATGAGCTTAAATAAATAACTGTGTGCCTCATTGTGTTAAACTAGTAATAAATTATGATAGTAAAATAATTAAACTTGTAATAAATTATGACAGTTAAATTAATAAATGCTATGTTTAATTTATGTTTTTAATACATATACTGCGTAATTTACACACACACACACACAATATATATAAACCTATATACTTTTTTTTGTGTGTGTGCGGTTGTGGTCTTGTATTGTGTATGGTTCTATGTTTTTTGTCTGCTGCTGTTCTTTGAAAAATGTATGAAAATGTTGGGAACGAAAATAGCATAAGTTACTTTAGTTAAATTAATATATACTTTTGTCTTATGTTATGGGTCTTTTGCTGTTGTGTCTCAGGATGCAAGCATACATATTACTTTGTATTTCATGCTAAATACCTTGATACGATGCATTTTAACACAGTCACCTTCCCCCCCCAGTATCACATCTATTCAGCATTACCAAACACACTCACTACGCACACACCTATGAAACACTATTGTAAATGAAGACAGCTTCTTCTCATTTTAACTACACTCATAAACACAACCGTATTTTAAGATATTTTCTACTTCTTTTCCTTTTCTTTCTATAGGCCCCCTTTCCCCCCTCTATTTTTTTGGCCATTTATTTTAAATTTGATTTTGTCCCATCTTTTCTACCTGGCCTTTCGAACTCGTACAAAATGTACGAAGTTCCTTTTCCCTCTCCTCTAAAATGCGAAATTGCCCCCCTTTCTATATACCTTTTCTTCGCACCTAAGCTTGATTTTTCGCCCATCGGTGCAGAAAGTCTTAACGGTTGCAAAACAAGACATCTGTCTACATCATGGAGGTAGGAAAGGGAGGAGGGGCCATTCCGCGCTAGAAGTGAAGCACTGCTTTCAAGCTTGGGTCACCAGACGGGGTGTTTTTTGTTTACATTCAGAAGCTCGCTTGACAAAATTTTGATAGTATTTCGACACACGACAGTTCCATAGAAATCGAAAAAGGGACACTCTCGCATGAAAGAAACATTCATAGTGTGATGGATAATAGCAATTTGTATAGTTTACTGACATTTACGCAAAAATCACATCTTGGTTATTTTTCGATAACTAACAACAGCGATTTTTGATTATGAATTTGTTTTATAAAATTCTAAGCTGTTGCACTACAAAAATATAGATTTTAAGAAAATTGCTAAAAGAGATCTGCCAAAATTTATTTTCTAGAAGATTTTGAGAAGTTTGAAACTTGATGGCTAATGTAATATAAAATTATGTATGTTAAAATATTTGTAATTAGGCACATAGGTCAGATTAAGTTTTTATTAAATAGAGTAACGCCTGTAAGGGCTATCTGCCTAAAAGAGATTGCCATCGTGGGGGAATTTTGAAGAAAAACTGACCTTTGAGTGGGTATTAAAAATAATACTTATAATTTTCATCAAATTATATTCATATATATTTCTTATGTAAAAACTTTCGGGTGTATGCTAAATTAGTGTAAATTACTTTACACGAAAAATATAGTGAATGCACAGAAATTAAAGATTTGCACATGCCGGAAATGATAAATAGGAAATATGTATGGGTATTTATGCATGTGCTTGCAAAAAGCATGTATCGCCCTTTGACAAAATACTTAAAATTCATTAAATTATATATAAATGTATTTGAAATGAAGAATTTATTCACTTATAAACAACTGTGAAAGTACTGTGAAGAAATCTAATGATTAAATGTATCTAATTTATAATGATTAAAATGTTATCTAAATATATAATAACCTTAATATTGAATTGTAAACATAAATTGAAATCCTGTTGACAAATATGTTATAAAACTATTTAAGCAAGAATTGTTCGTATTGGAAAGCGATCTGTTAAAAGGTATTGTAAAGCAAATGCTATGAGATGCGCACTTAAGAACGTAATAAAGAGTTTTGGAATATGTATTGTTGAAATGAAGGGTAAAAAAAAAATTTGATAAGTATAATTAAAAGAATTATTCCCTTTACATTTTATAATAACTCAGTTACAAGTTTTAAATAATACTTAAAAACAAAAAAAAAAAAAAAAAAAAAAAAAAAAAAAAAAAAAAAAAACTTATTTTATTCCCTTTCAGAAATGTTCAGAGAAAGTCAAATACTATTTTCCTAATAATTCTCTAATTTAAAATGAACCGAATAGAGCATTAATTATAAATTGACTTACATTTTTCGATTTAAAAGAAGCCAAAAAAAATCATGTCCATATTTAAGAAAGTATTTTAGGAAGAAGCTCTATAAATAGAAAAGAAATAATGCATAATTTTAATATTATTAATACAATAAACTTTAATCTTAATTTTTTGTACCTTAACCGAATAAAATCGAATTACCTTATTTTTTTTTCTAATGTAATTAACGAAAATTTGTGAAAATATTTCATTCAATTTAAACCATTCTGAGAAAACTGTCCTGTGAAAAGTATAGCATTTAATTCCGTTCAGAATGAAATGTTGTTTAAAAAATATGTTGTTTTCATATACATAGGACTCTGAAGTGTTGTAGAAAAATATATATATATACATTTATATGTATATTTGCGACGTAATTACAAAATATTTACACCCGAACGCGTCAAATCCCATAGAACTCAATGGTGAATGACCCAATGTTTTGGTCACCACGTAGGGATCGCCGGTGCTTCAGAGCAGGGTACGGAGAAACTTGTTTAGGGCGACTCCTTTTTACTTCTTACCTCCATGGTCTACATAAACTGTTGGACTGACTGTAACAACAAGGGTGCCCTCTGGTGAGTAACCAGAGAAGGACTTCAGTAAAATCCGAGTGTTTAACCTGATAGATTGTTTCAGACACTTGCTTTCTAATTTTCTTAAAGTTAAATGCAATGTTCGTGTGTTAATGGTAAACGCAAATGGGTTTGTTGATTCTTTGACGGTAAGGCCTGCCACTCTACACCCCCCCTTAAAAAGCTCTTCTTGGTTATACGATGATTACATGCGTATAAATGAAAAAAAAAAGTAACTTGAGTTTATAATAGTTACATTATTTGCATTTCATATTTACACTTTCGTCTATTTTTTTCTATGGGGGTACTTTTCGAAGAAAGTGACATCACCTTTGTAAAACCACAACCCAACATTACATGTTTTGCACATGTACCGGGATCCGTATCAGTTTCACTATCTGAAGGCAATTCGTGTAACACTTTCAGTGCTTCAGAAATAGTCAACCCCCTCCGATCCATTCGGAAAATAATTTAAAAAATCTGAAAAACAATGAAATAATATTATTATATCTACAAATTATAATATATACTAGCGGTCAAGCCCGCCAGCTGAGCGGAGTGAAACCCCCTTTTCATTGTTCAATGGTCAGGAGTTCCCATGTTAAATTTCGCCGGTATTCGAAAGCTGGACCGAACTACCAGTGTTTAGCGGTTTTGGGCGGGCTCCACCCGCTTTATTCACGTATGCATCGAGAAAATACTGCATACACGTTACATATGCGTAAAATCACGATTACACACATGCAGCCAGCCCGCTGGCCGAGATTCGAAAGTTGGAACGAACTACCAGTGCCCAGCGGTTCTGTGCGGGCTGCGCCCGCTTTATTAAAGTATGCATCCAGAATATACTGCATACACGATACACATGCGGAAATCACGAAAACACCCACAGAGCCAGCCCGTTGGCCTTTATTCGAAAGTTGGACCGAACTACCAATGTTCAGCGATTTTACCGGACCTGCGCCCTCTTTATTCGCGTATGCATCCAAAAGATACTGCATACACGTTACACATGCGGAGAATTTGAAAACACAAATGGAGCCAGCCCGTGGAACACTATCAGTGTTCAGCGGATTCAAGGTTCAGAGTAAACTATAAATTCTTTTTCATTCAATTTTTCTGTGCGTGCAGAAGGAAATTTTTAAGGATCGTGCTTTCTGTGCACATCAAACTCCAGCAGTTGACTTCTATTACTTGCTGCTAATAATCTGTGCTTTAGATAGCATTTATAAAACGTTCATTGCTCCGCAAATGTCTCAATTATTGGATAGAGTTTTATTTCTTCATTCTGCAGTGGTGCCTGAATAGGGAAACAATTAAAAATTTATTCCCTACATAGGGATATTTAGTTTAAAGAACCGCGTGTTACGTTTATTAGATTTGTTTACAAAATTGCAAGACATGAATATTACAAAAATGTTGTAACTGCCGTTACTCTTGCTTGTATGATATGAGCTATTCGTGATAGTGCCAAATAAAATGAATCGCATTCTGAAATCAGGAATAAAATATATAAAAGCCAATTATCATTCATCAGTAGGTGTTTATGGATTTCGGCCGCGAAAGTTAATTACCTTAAATGATGGTATGATTGGTGTTTTTTAAAGAATGTTATATATTTTCTGTTATAATTGAACAGCAATTCATTCATTTCATCATCTGTGTAAATGAGCAGAGATTCATATGCAACTCAAGCGTGATTTTTTACCCTTTTCTGAGTACAATTCTCTTTGAGTAACTTAATATTACGAAGGGGGACGTATATGACGGGGTGACTCTTGTTAATGAGCATAAAAATGTAATGGGGTGTGACCTACATTGTAGTCCTCTTTCACAACATGTTGATATAAGTATTATAGTTGCACATTTTGAGTTGAATAATTCTGATCTCTAGCACATTTATGAATTCTCGGACATATCAAAAAAAAAATTTGTTTTAATGAACTACCTTGATAACGAATTATTTTGAGAGTGAATGAATTACTTTTTACTGAGAAAATTTTTATTCCTTCTTTTTATAATAATTTGCATTTCTGTTAATATAGTCCTCGTTAAATTGTTATATTTATTTCTTTTGCTATAATTTTATAACACGGCACATTTTCACATTTATATATAATGTGGAAATGTGCCACATCGCCCCGCCACCAGTTTCTACAAATAAAATTTTATCCTAAATTATTTTCTTCTATTTCAGGAATTCCACAGAAAAGTAAAAAGTATTTTGATAAAGTATATCAAATTCATGAAGCTTTCAGAAACCACGGTCACAGGATTGCTTGTCTGAATCCTCTCTCAGTTTCTAATAATTTGTATGTTTTGATTTTATTTCAAGTAAAAAAAAAAATAATAATAATAATAAATTGTGTTTAGAGTTAAGTGTATACATTTATAATAAGCACTAAATTGGGTAACAGGCTTTCTAACATATAATTGTTACATAATTTAAAAGCAGGATTAGTAAAAGTTCACATGGAATAAAATGTCCAAACCATTTCTGGAACTACATAATCATTAAAAAAAATCACTTTCTTGTATAAGTATTTATATATCACTATGGTAGTATACATTCAAGTGCATTCCATAAAAGAAATGATTGTTTCATAAAGGGTTAAATTATGAAATGTATATAGAATTATAAAGATGATAATTCTAATAATTTTACATCTGACTTTTTTCATCTTGAAGAAATGCTAAAATTATTTTTAATTTAATAAAGAATAATATTTTTTTTTTTAACTCATGACAAAAACAACCTTAAAGTATTAGTATTATTAAATGGTTCATAATTATATTGTAATTGTTTTTTAAGTGTATTGGAAGATAACAAGGGTGTCTAAATTTGTGTAAATTTGTATAAATACAGTTATAAAAACCCTTCATTGCTGATTTTTTTGCTTCTAATGAATAGAGACTTAACATGTTTGCCTTTGAAATCAGTAGAGTTTTTGACTAAATTTACACTAAACACAAGGTTCTTGCTTTGCTAATTTTATGTATCAAGATGGTTGTCATCATCTAATTAGATTTCCAGTGTTATGTTTGATGCTAATTGCCACCTCATTAATCAAAAAGAACCATAATAAATACTGCATTCAGCTGATAGACATTTGAATCTTATTTTATCTGTTCACTTAGTTATTTGTGTTGCACTGAGAATCATTCTTTTTACAATATGCTATTCTGATGTTTGCATTATTTACATTTAAGTTTCTGGAACTACTCTGATATGCGCCCTCAAGTCGCCAAATTTCTCGCCAAACGTTTTTGGCGAGAAACTTCACGCTGCCATATTACTATCTAAATTTTTTGGTCTATATTTTGAACTTTAAGCCTAAAATGTCTCCAAAAACGCAGTTTTCGCACATGCAAAAACTACGTTTTGAACACACGATTTAAGCTAAAAATCTGAAACAAAAACAAAAAATTTAGATAGCAAAAACGTAAGGTTTCTAACCAAAAATATTTGACAAGAATCCATGTACACAGCGACATGTTTTAACTTAAAAAAACATCTACGAATGGTGCAATGTAGGCAACGAACGAATCTACGAACTCGCACACCTCGCTTTAATAAATTAACATAACAACAATGAATTTCAAAGAATACCATGTACACAGCATCCTGTTTAAACTTAAAAAAACATCTACGAATTGCACAATTTAGGCAAGGAACGAATCTACGAACTCGCACACCTCGCTTTAATAAATTAACATAACAACAATAAATTTCAAAGAATACTATGTACACAGCATCCTGTTTAAACTTAAAAAAAAACATCTACGAATTGCGCAATTTAGGCAAGGAACGAATTTACGATCTACGCACACCTTGCTTTAATAAAATAACATAATAACAATAAATTTCAAATAATACCATGTACACAGCGTTCTGTTTCAAAAACAACAATAAGGACAGAAATTCATACTAAATAACCATTGAACATAACATTCTACAAAATAAGAACAAGAATAAAATAAAATGCACTTACTATAAATTAATGCTTCTTCGAGTAGCAGATATACTAATTTCATAGTGTCTTTAACATGCCGCCAGGTAATCACTATTGTATTTATAATCACTATCGTACACACTCCAGAAAATTCATACTATGGTTCACAAATAAATAAAATCACAAATCCCTACTTCTATCATGCACAGCCATTAAAAATTAATCTCCCAGAAACCCTCTTTCCACACTTCCAAATACCCAACTACCCTTCAACAGGATGGCCATGAATGATATTTCCTTTTGCCGAACTTTCAATTCGAACAACTTCTACCATTTTATCTTTCCCTCCCCCCCATCTTCTCAGACGCGAATCAACGAGCTCCAGCGAAAGATTGTTCACGTCAACAGGGTTGCCATAGAAAAACGCAATCGTGCCAATAACCAGCGCAGAACATATATCGCCAATTTGGTGAAATTAGAGCGTATATCAGAGTTGTACCAAGTTTCTATATATATACCACATAGGTCTTTCTTGTTTGTGTATTACTTGCTACTTATATATATATATATATATATAAACTAAAAGAAAAAAAAAGAAAAAAAAAAAAAGGCACCTAATTTGTCCTGTTGCACACTATGTGTATACAAAAAGTTTTAGTACACATGGAAATGAAATATTCTAAAAGAAAGTTTTCCGTATGATGAAAAAAATTGTTCCTATCAAATTAAAATATAGAGAAAATAATCTTAGGATATATAAGGATACAAAATGGAATAAAAATGCAGATTTGAGGGAAAAAGAACTTGCATGTTGATAATTATGTACTTTAACCCTTTGTGGACAAAAAAGGGGTTTCATTTATCTAACTATAGGCTGTCTGCTCTACAACAAGATAACCTCTAATGATCAAGATTTATTATTATAATATATACAAATAGACCAAGGATGTGTGGTTAAATTATTACAGTATATTCGTAATAATAATAATAAAAAGTGTTAACCTGCATTGAAGGTATGAAAGTAAAAAAAGGATACATGAAAGTTACGGTCCTTTATTATTGAATTCATTTTTAACATCCTTCATAGTATGAAATTTTTCCAATTTTTCTTGTGGAATGTACTCAATTCTTTTTATTCCTAGAGCATAAAATGTGTAATGTTCGGTCAAGTTGCTTTTCCTTTCCAAACATACTACATTGACTCTATGGTTGCCTTTTCATTTGAAAATCCCCTCTCCATAGGCTAACCAGCTGTGTTACAAATCTGAAATGATTTAAGGATATTTCTTGTTTTCCAATATATGCATCTTTGTACAGTATCTAATCATTACCTGAACAAACTCCAAACCATTAAAAAAAAGTTTTTTTTCCCGCCATTTAAGGATTTTGCTCAAAAAGCAATAAGAAGCAGCGTAATGACAGCATAAGCTTAATTGACACCACCCAAATATTTAGTGTACTTTTGCATTTTAGTATGGGGGAGGGGGCATAAACTTACATCATAAAAATGATTTGTTTATCTCTCTATATAAAAGATAATAGAAATATTTGCATAGTGCATCCATCCAGTTTCTATAGGATTAATACATATCTCCCAAATGCAGTCTTTTGTGTTTTAAGGAATTATCTAGACTGATTTATTATGAGATGTCCTGGGTATAAAGTGATTTTAATATATGCAAAATTGTTTGCATTTTGCTTATGATATTGCTTATGATATGTATTGTTTAAGAGTTATTAGGAAGATATATACAATAGGTACTTTGTCACTCCCCCACACTAGTGCCCTAAGATATAAAAATAATTTTAGCATATCCTGTTTAAACCAAATATAGTCATAAGGGTGGCATAGGAAGATACAAAATGCTTGAATATCAAGATGTTTGTGCTAGATTGTAGTGAAAGATTTTTTAATCAGTGAATTACATACTATACAACATGACTAATTAATTTTAAGAATTATACCGACATTCATTTTTTCTACTTTGTATTAGTGTTCTCCATTTTATTTAGTTAGGGATATTTTTAATTTATATAGAATATAAAACACTGTAATATCAAAATAGAATAGAAATATGTCCAAGTGAAACAAAATTAGTAAAGCAACAACATTGTGTTTGGTGTAGATTTATTCAAAAACTCAATTGACTTTGAGATCAAACAGGTAGAAGTTTCTCTTCATTAGGAGCAAAGAAATCTGTAACATTGAAAAGCAGCAGTGATATAACTACAGTTGCACCTGCTGCTTTCCAGTTTTGCAGATTTCTTTGCTCGTGATAAAGAGAGACCTGTGCCTCTTTGCCCTTGAAATGAGATCTTGACTAAATCTATGCCAATCACAGGGTTGTTACTTTGCTATTTTTATACTATAATATATTCAGTTTACCCCCTTGTGCTATGCAAGTATTTGAGAAAAATATTCATGGTGAATTATTCAAATGCTTAACAAAGGAATTAGAGAGAAATTTCTATTTTAAATGATAATTTTAAGGCAAAAAATGCAAAACTAGCATCATTGGGCAATCATCTTGGAAATTTTGTTCATAAGTAATTATTTATTAATATCCAAGCATATGATGTTATTGAAAGTAATGAATATAAAATTTAGCATATTTTACAGTAATATGCCTGCACAACTGTTTCTGGTGGATAATATGTTACCTAAAGATGATATTAATCTTCATCCTTTTGTATGAAGTATTACAGTTACTAAAATGATTAAATGCAGCACTATGTCTTAAATCATAAAAATGGGAATGCCATATCAGATTCTCTAAACTTTAAAGAACATCTTATAAACACAATTTAATACACCAAGTGAGAGCCATTAAATTTCAGATAATTTGAATGGAATCTTGAATATACTGCATATTTGATATCAATTTTCTAAAATATTATAATCTGATCTAGCATGTACTTAATGTAGTAAATTTTGCTTTTTCTTCATTTAAGAAAGAAAATAATCCTATTGTATTTAAGTTTTCCTGAAAGTTATGAAGCACTCTAATACTTTTTTGCTGTTATATATCACATTTTATTTGTAGCTGAAATGTATTTTATGTTGCTCTTTTGAAATCATATTCTACTTTGATGCAGAATTATTTTTTAATTACAATAACTCTATTTTCAATAAAACTTGAAATTAATTGAAGTTTGATGTGCTGTTGATTTTTCAAAGGAAAAAAAAAAAAAAAAAAAAAAAAGGCCAAAGGTTTTTTTAAAAAAAAATCATTTTTATGGATATTTTTCTTTAGTTATTGTGCATTGTATTTTGCAAATTACATAAAAGCTTAGTTATATTTCTTCTCGATTGTTTACCAATACCTTTTTTATTTTTCTCTTTTTATAGGAGTGTAATTAAATTTAATTTACACAGAATTTTAAATTTGGCATTATTTTAACTTAAACTATTAATATTATACTACTTTAAGCTTTTAAAACTTTTCTAAACTTTAGTTTTTAAAATGTTAAATTATGTGTATTTTTAATTGTATGACATTTGATAAAAGAATGTTTATTTCAATCTAATACATTCATACAAGCACATATAGTATATATATATATTTTTTGGCAGGTACATTCCTCAACTTGATCCTGAAAATTATAATTTTGACATTAATAGTTCAGATACATTTCACCTGAATGGAAACATTTACTGCCATGATTCTGAAGCTTCTGTAGGAAACATAACTGATTATTTGAAAAAAATTTATTGTGATAAAATAGGTGTTGAAATTCAGTACCTAGAAGTAAGTTTTTTTTTATAAAGTAAGACACTTCTGTGCTCTTGAGTGTATTTTTCTACGTATTTGTAGACGAGTGAGTTAATTTATTAAATAATGTATTCAGATTAATTTCTGTCTGGTTTCCTATGCCATTTTAGGTTTTTCTAATGTTAATTTTATATTAACAATATATTTAAAAAATGTCTTATGCAATATATTACTCGTGTTTTTGATTACCTGCATCAAACATTTTCATTCCCAACTGATTATAACTAGTAAGCTAATCTTAATACAGAAAATAAAAACAGGAAAATTTATCAACTTTACTGAACTGAATTTAGTCATTTTAGAATGGAAATATATTTTCTCATAACATGAGGCTCCCTTTCTAAAATGTTATAGGGCTTATATTAATATAAATATATTTTATTCATTTGAATGTGTTAGAAATTATGAAGTCTTGTATACATTCTGTCAGTAAATCTCAATTTTCATGTTTTCAAAAAATCGTATTTGATGTGTGTATATATATACATATATATATATATATACACACACACACATATATATATATATATGTATTAAAACATGATCATAATTTGATCATATGAATTTTGAGCATCATCAAAAGTCAGCGGTATTATTTAGTTTTATAAGATTTAATGTGTTTCAAGAGAAAATCCCCCTTTGATTGTCTAATAATGATTTTAACATTAATGTATGCTTGAAAAAGATAAATTTTTTGTGCTTTTTTATATTTCCAGAACAATATATTCTTTATATTTTAATATTGCAAAAGCATTTTATATTTAATAAATAATTATGTAATTTCCCATCAACCATGAAAGTTGGTTAAACACTTAACCATGAAAATTCACAAAGATCCCACCAATCTGCTAATTATTCCTGTGAAATTCTGAATGAACTGATGCCTCTTTATTTAAAAAAACAATCACATATCACTTTTTATTTTCTTATATAATTGATAGATACAAATTCAGCATTTAAAAAGAAACATATATAAATAGTATTTCAATCTTTTAGATTAACTGACAAAGCAATTTATTATAACTTGTGCCAGATTTTACTGGAAGCTTTGTTTAGAATAAGTACAAATTTACCACAGGTGAGTGCTCCAATCTATAGTATTCATATGGTCCTTGAGAGCCTTTTAAAGTCCCTATATTTTTTGGAAATGATTTTTTTTTTTGTCCTTAATATGGTCCTTAATTTCAGCCAAAATCGGCAAAAGGTCCTTAATTTTAATCATCTGACATTTCTGTAGGTTATCTTATTATAGATTTATTTTGAGTCTGAATTAGCATTTTGGAAAAATATTTTTGGCAATTCATTGACAAATATATATTTGATACATTGTTGTTTGAATTCATCCTTACTTTTTAATGTAAACAGTGCAATACTTGAGTTTTCTAGGCAAGAAGTGAGGAATAAACATTTAAAAAGTATTTCTTTTTTGCAAATGAAGTGTTTGAAAAATACTATATCAGAAGCAACTTTCCCTTTTTACGATATGAATTCTTTTATTAAACGATGCTAAATTTGGCAAATTGTCAACATTTTGGCTATTTAATATCAATTTGTATTCAAAATTTTTTATTCAGAGATTTGTGAATTTTTGACAATTTTCTTTTGGAAACTTAATAACATTGATAAATATCATTAAAATAATAATAATATATTGTATTTAAGGAACAACATTAAAATAAAACATTTTATTTTTCCCTATCATATTATAAAATAGCATTAGTTTACATTTTAATGACTTATTATTTTGAACCTGAAAAATAAACAAGATAATAATTCCTATAAAGCCTAGTTTCCAAGCATATCATAGCAAAATTAAAATAGCTATTATAATTATTTTTAAATTAATATAATTTGTTGTCTTTTATATATTTTTATGGTAAGAGTTTTTTACTTGGTAGTTGTCTCAGAATATTCAAACGTGTATCAGTTTTATCTGTAAAATTCACTTCACACTTTTTCTTTTTTTTTCTTCCCAAAACCTGGCTTTTTGCTGTTACTGAATTGATGGGGATAAATTTTTTGCCTGATTTTAGACTTCGTACCTCAGAAGGTTTACAGGGATTTGAAGGCAAGATTTATAAATTATACAGTTCCAGAAACTTTCAGAAAAATGCGACAAAATTAAAAATGTCTCAAGGGTATTAACACATAATCAATGTAATTTACCAGAAGTTTGTAATAAATTTTTTATTTTTCTATAAATTTTTTAAAGAAAAATGAAACATTATTATTTAAATTTCCTACTTTTGATCCTATAAGCTTTCCTTTTAGCATGCTTATCTTCCCTTTATTCTCTCTTCTTTTCACTAGACATAAACATGGACAATTGAAGAAGTTCTATTTTTATCACGTGGATAGGCATCTACAGAAAAGAATTTTTCTGCTAATAAAGACATTGAAAACTGACAATTGAAAAGATTTATATTATTTGTTATCATACAAAAAAACTGGCACTGGTCATTTTCTCGTCTAATGCAATCTCTGTAGGTCCTAAAATCTGCTGCCTTTATGTCTCCCAAAATTCTAAAATTTTTGCCATCCCTAAATTCTATTGCTCGGTGCCTCTCTTAAATTCTAAAACTTCTGCCATATTGGCTTTTACAGTAGCTCCGATCATATATCGTTTCATATTTGTTCTGAATGCTCATATTACTAAAGTAATAAAATTAGACATTCTGAATACATGGAGTTTTTTAAACTAACAGAAGTTTTTAATTAAATTTGAAAATGCTTAAAAGGAAGAGAAAGCTTACTGAGAAAGAAATTGCAAACAAAGAAAAAGAAAATTTTTCTTCAAAGATTTAGTTCTGAGTTCAAATATATAATGCTGAGAAAAAGAAAATTGTTCTTCAAAGATATAGCATCTCATAACTTATGAGATAAAGCAGAAACTAGTGAGAACATTTTTTTTTTTTTTTTTTTTTTATTGAAACAAGTTTCTTTTTGGCTTAAGGAGAAGGAAATTGCCATAAAGTAGCAAAAAATAATGGAAAATTTTCAAATTAAAAAGGCGCATAAGTATTATATTACAGGTTGTTACTACAAAACTTATGTATTTTGTAGCTTTTAATATATAATTATCGTAATATCATTTTAGAATCAATGTCATAAATTATATGGGCAGTTATCTTTTATTTTGGACTTAAACAGTTCTTAGATTGTGATTTTAACAGTGCATTTTTTATGAATATTTTTAAAAAGCATAAAAAATTTAACAATAGATGTATAATGACTAAAAGTACCTAATTTAATTATTTCTAATTAACTGATTACCCTTAAAAGTTATTTCTGCATTTTATTTTAATGCTAATTGATAAATTTTATTAATTTGATTTTATTCTTCAATTGGTATTATATTTATGCTTTAGTATTAGATTATGTGGCACTTTTCTGTTTTCAGGTCTGGATTCCAAATTGTATTTATATATGCACATGTGTATCTATGTATGTGCATGTGTGTACACATACATATATACATGTAAAATATAAAAAAATACGATGGCTTTGCTCTACGCGGACACATAACCTTTAATTAACTTTCTGAAATTCAGGATTTTGCCTTTAGACCAGTACCTTCTAGAATTTGTTAGCATATTACGTAACCGCTACTATAAATAACAAATGCGCGCCATTTTGCGTCAAAAGAAGCTCGCCTCTCCTCCTGTGCTCTCCTTCTGTGTGTGTGTGCTCCTATGCTGCTTGATCTAACTTTCCTTTGATAGAAACAGTAATGACGCATAAAGTTTAACTTTATTCGTAGTTTTAGTTTTAGTGGTTTAAACTACTATTGAATATGTGAATATGGGTTTTGCGCATGCTCGTGCCATTGTTGTGTGTGTTTCTTGAGCTCTGATTTTCAGCTTTATTTTGCGGTAATTAATGTGTGTAAACTATTTATTGTGTATAATTTTATTTGTGTAAGTGTTCTGCTTTATATTTGTGCAATTTGTTTCAAGTTGAAAGAAGTATTGTTAATATTATGGCTCTTGCAAGATTTCGGCATAGTTAAGCCTAGCTTGACGATTTGTTTACTTCTTTGAGTAGTGCTACGAAGTAAAGGAATGCCAGGATGGACGAAGAAGACGATGATGCGTTTTATAGTGCGCTTAAATGTTGCTATGATAAACTTGAAACGGCTATTGAGTCAAAGTGTAATATGAACCAGAATATTCGTGAAGAGGCAAGGCATGCAATGTGTGAGTTAAAGTGTTTGATTACTAAGAATTTTGAACGTATTAAGTCGTGGGTTAAAGCTTGTAGGGAAAGTCTTAAAGACATTTTCGTAAAACCAACGTATGCTAGTGCTGTGCTGCCATCTCCTGTTGTGAAACAAGACCTAGTTATGCTAGTGTGGTGGCGCCATCTGATGTTACAAGGATTAATGAAAAATCCTTGATTTCTTCGGATTGTTGTTTAATTGTAGACTCTGAAAACTGCTCTTCTGACGATGTTAAGAAAGTTATTAAACTAAAAATTAATCCATTAGAAGCTAAGTTAGGTGTATATACTTTAAAAAATTGGAAAAGATAAAGTCTTGGTTAAGTGTTTGACAGAAAATGATCGGAATCGACTTCAAGCCGAGATTAATGAAAAGTCTCCGGAATTGAACACGTCCTTGCCAAAAAAGAGGAATCCTGTTTTACTTGTAAAAAATGTGCCAAATGAAATACCTAATGAAGATCTTCTGAAAGTGATTTTTGAACAAAATCCCGAAGTTGTTGAATCTGATGAAAACAGAAGTATATGTAGAGTTCGATTTACTTTAAAAACCTTCCAGTTCACAAGGCATGTTGTGATTGAAACGCACCCCATGGTTCGCAAACGTATTCTGAATCAAGCCAGGTTGAAAATTAATTGGAGTATATGTAAAACTGACGATTTTATTATCATCAATAGATGTGTTAAGTGTCTTGGGTACAACCATCGTGCTGATGAATGTCGTGAGCGAACAGCCTGTTTTAACTGTTCTGGAGAAC